GGATGTATATGTAGTATACATTTGTAAATGGACATCATGTGAATGATGAATATGTGAAAGAGGTTTTAGAAAATAAAACTCACCGCTTTGTGGTTTTGTTTCAGACTTGGAAGATTGTTGGGTGATCACAGGTATGGAAACATGAGGACTGCTTGCGAGGGCTTCGAAATAAAAGTATAAAGTGTTTATAAGTCATACAGTTGCTAGATAACATTCCATTTTTTTATTTTTTTTTTATTGGTATTTTTCAGGGGAGGGGGCTGGTGCTAGTTATGTACTGCACAATTTAAACAACTACATGTAAATAGATTCGGTTTTGCAAAGGGCTACAAGGGTAAAGGGTTTCCTATTAGTTACGGGCCTGACACTTTTGTTGAAAAGGGATGCATCCATGCCAAAAAAGAATAATAATAAATAAATGCTGACTCTATTGCGAATAAACAAATACTTGGACTAGTGACAGTGGCTGCCTAACCCCCAGAAAATGGCATTCTGGGTCGGACCCAATAGATCATTTAGATGTATAATCTGTGGTATAGTATAGGCATATACTTACAAGCCTCTGCAGGTAGTGAAAGCTCAATTGGATGAGTGGGCGGGTCACCAAATGGGAAAGCTGTTTTCAATGAGTGTACCACGTCTTTCAAATCTGGAATTAATTGAAAGGTCATTTGTGAATGATACTTATTAGTACTGTAGTACACATATGTACCAGTACTAGTAATGTCAGATATACAGCCAAGCATGATCAACCCTGTTATTTTTAAAGTGTTTTAATAGATCTAACACTCAGAGACAAAACTTGGACTCTGTGGCCAGCACCATGCGCCAGCAATCATTTCCCGAAAGTTTAATACGTGTACTTAACTGGTATTCAATATCACAATGTTTGCTTCTGGGAACCAGACTATCAACCAAATGGTTATCGGACTTTATTTGCCTTTTAAATAATCCTCCAAACCATGGAAATTAAAGGGAAGAAAATTTAATCTACTTAAATAAAAATCATTATTTGATTAAAACCTACGACTTAAGAAATCTTTTTGAAAAAAAAAGGAAAAAGAAATTACCATGGGCTCGGATTCGAACCAGGGATCACGAGAGTATCAGTCCAACTCTCTTCCAATCGAGCCACCGGTACAATTCAGCAACATGTGGAGTTGTAGTTCTTTATATACGTTCGCATTGTGATTTTACAATGCTGTAACGATAGCATTTGAAGGTTGCGTTACGGCTGCCGTAACGATAGCCACTACGCTAATTTTACCCTTATTCCTTCATTGGAAAAATTTAAGACAGATTCTTTTAGACGAGATCCAGGGTTTGTGCATGGGGTTAATAAAAGTGGGGGTACATGTACATGTAGGCCCTATGTAAAGTGAAATCTTTCCCTTTTGAGCTCCAGCCAAAATTACTCGTGTACTGTTACTGGACTACAAGCAGTATTGTTACAGTAATTTTATGCCTATGTTATGTACGTATGTGTTTATTATAGCTCCATCATGTCCATGTTAATGGCATGGAGGAATCCATGGTAATGGTTGAACTTGCACGACTTAAACTTTTAAGTTAACGTTAGTGGCTTTTAAAAATGATCGTCATGATCGTAGCCCCGTTTTAAAGTAGGCTAAACTAACAAATGGATTGAAGTTGACACCTACTTGACTGTAGCCATGCTAGTTCTGACGAACTTTTTACATACGTATCAAAACTTCGTCCATCAGTCATGGTAATTTGGACTAATATTTTCTTCTGTTTTGAATTTCCCTCCGCTGTTGCATCGGTGGCGGCCATGTTTTCGCACTGTATTGTGGGATACTTCCCTAAGTAACCGGCTCGGCGGGTCGGTCACATTGATCTCCATATACACAGACTGGATAGGACATCGCGCCGTGTTTGTGCACGAATGCGCGGCCGAACAATGGCGGCGCGTTTACTGTCAGACGGGTAAACGCGCATTGTGCTTTCACTTTGTTTACTTTGAAAAATGGACTATTGTGTGGAATTTTTCTTACAGAAGGGAGTTCAAGCGTTCCTCCAAAACAATCTTTAAAAAAAATAACTGAACGATGAAGAGTTACCCTCAATCCCTCCAAACAGCTTTTCCACACTTTCTTGATATACACTTTCTTATTATGCATTTTCGAAATTCAAGAACCCCCCACCCCTTTCCCTTTCCCTTATTTTTTTTTAAATCCCTCCTCCTCCCAAAAATGATTGTAAGTAAATTTCCATTTCATTTTTGGCACATTGGTCATTAGAGCACACTGAATTACTCCATCAACGAAATGAATAATTGTATTAATAATATGCTAAAATGACATCATATTTTTTTAACTGAACACTCACACGAGAAATTGTATGGATATTCATTCAAATGATTGATATATTTATTTAAAAACCTGAATATACATCAATTACAATCTAAAAGGTAAACAAACCTTAATTTTACAAAGTAATCAGTAAAAACTTCTTCCCGTCCCTAGATTGATCAGGGAATGACATCATTCACCTCTTGTGATATTGTGTGAAAGGAGATGAATCACAAACCAAAATAGTACTATACTTATTATGTCAAAGAATAATTCAAGCTACGCACGGTCTTGTTTATCATTAAATGTTTAGCTATACTTCTGAAAATAAATATAATTACTTGTTAGTGAAATGGGAATCGTTTTTGTGAGCGAATATGACGGTGTATATGGCTATAGCTAGTAATCTTATATAACGGCGTACACAACATAATTTCAAACCGTAAAAGTACTCATTGCTTTCTTCACCATACAAACTGTCGATAATGTGACAGTCATCTTGGAAGCTCATAAACATACTTGCATTGAACTCCACAACTTCTGGAGTAGGCGTTAAGCCAAGGTAGCTCGGAGGGTACCGAAGTTCCAGCGCTTCACTGAGTAGAGCTAAAGCCAAGGCAGACATAATTCAATCAGATTTTGCATATAAAAGTTATAAAGGTTATTCGAATAAACTATTTTAAACAAATCAACTTTTGTTCATTGCCATTGCCGGGTCAGTCATGCACGTTTAGGCCTATGTCTTAAAAAAAACTTGGACGGCGACCAGCATGAAAAGTCTAGATCGCATGGAATTTGAACAGAATATCTCGCTAGCTACCACACAGGCCTCCATCCCCTCAAACTCAGAGCGACAACACTAACGATATTATAATTTGCTATGTTTATATTCCTCCATGCCATGTTGTATAGGCCTCGTTGAAAAAAAAAACTTACTTGCGAATAATTGTCCTATTCTTCAACGCTCCTTACTTCCCGACTCCAGCAATCTAATGCTGCGCACACCTTGACTATACTCCTCTTCGATTTTGATCAATTTAGATCTCTGTTTCTTTCATATTTTCAAAAATGACAAAGAAACCGAAGAAAACCAAACTTCATTTTTTAATCCTCCGTTCGAAAGTGTACACAACTCGAATGCGAAATCGTGTTCTTTATCCTTTTCAAAAAACGCGCGCGCGGACGCACGTTCGTACGCGATGTCCTATCCAGTCTGTGTATATGGAGATCAATGGTCGGTCACTTGGGTCAGGCCCGAGTAAGCGCGTGAAGTCACGTGACAGTCAAATCGAACATAGTCGCGCTTGCACGAGTAAGCGCCGGGGAAATAAACGAACACGCTCAGCGCAATGCATCTACCCCATGACTGTTTCATGTTCCGTAAGCGCAAGTGATTGTTTCGTGCTCTGTTGTGTTTAACTAAAATTAAAATGCACATCATGCATATCAAGACACAACTAACGTTCTCAGAATTGGCTAAAATTGAAAACAGATCACTTGTTCACTTTTTTCGAAGGTCCTGTCTCTGCTCCCAACGGATTGCGTGCATGGTGCACGCGACGCGACCGCGTGACTTGACCACGTTGTTGACGAACGGCAGCTTGAAATGTACAGTAAACTTAGGCCAAAACATAATGAACGCGACCTGTCCTAGAACCCCTGTCAGTTTTATCATAAAAACTAATTATCATTTTAGTAATCTGTTCATGAATATAACTTCAGAAAACCGGATTTCTGTTTAAATTTTACGATTTTCAACGGCTGACGCGACGACAGAAATCGCGCGGATCCATAACAAACTGGTACCGCGTCACGAGCGAAAAACATGGCGAAAGTTCTTGTATACCAGGGAAGCACGCATTCTAGCCGGCTAGCCGGGGACAGAGCTTCATTCAAGACTTCCAAAGCCTTATTTGATCACTGTTGCATTATTCACGACCTAGACCAATGATATCAGGCGAGGTTCGCGGGCTATGTAAATCCCACTAATGGAAAAACGGCTCGCGGCACGCCCTGAATAATGAGACGCGCTTAGCAGTCACGTGATTTAGGCACTATCTATAAATGACCAACAGAGGGCGTACTTTTTTTACAAGTGAAACAGCCGTGTTTACGGCCGCCCCGATTTTGTATTTTTTTTTCATTAAAATGTATTTGCATACAAATTTCTCACACAGAAAAATAGGCACAATGACTAGCATGCAAACAGTGAAAAACATTATGTGTCCACAAATAGGAGTTGTGTGATGCGTTCCCATGTCACGTGAGCGTCCTACACAAATCATGATGTCGCGTGTATTTGCATACAAAAAATTGTGCGATGAGTTGTATAAAACGGCAGCAAATGGCTATTGAATCAGCCGCGCCGCCACGACATTACGCATGGTCGAAGTCATGTGTCACCCGAATGGTTCAAGTACCATACATGTAGGTCTAGGAACTATAGGAAATCGCCCTCTTCATTTGATGTGAAGGAGTTAAATTCATTAATATAAAACATTCCAGTCCAGGTGATGTGAATCTAAAAAAAAAAAATTGAATGGCTAATCTTAAACATATTCGTCTTACCCCCGCAACCACCATTCACATTATATTCATGAAGTACATGTAAATATTCATGAAGACATGTCACCACATTGTTGCTTGTGTGTTGTATGGGAATCATACCAAAATCTCAGCATTGATGGAATATGCAGGGCAGTTAATATATTAGCAGAAGAGGGTGATGAAAGAGAAGAGACACAAGCAAGTGTGTACAGGTACTTTTTCAGTGCTCGGAACAAAAAGTACTGGTAAGTGATGTTCCTCATCTACATGCGACTAAACAGTAAAGGCATGTTCTCACTTACAATTAAGTACCTCGGTGATATACCTTTATTAGGTATGGCAGAAAAGTGTTGGCAGAAAACACATTTTAAAGAATCTGAATATTTGATTTTATAAGCAGCGAATATTCGGTTATTAAATTTTATCAATGGCTTTTAAAAGTGCAAATAAAGCTTGCGCATGGTATCATATATGCATGCCTGAAGGACCTTGGAGAAAAAACTGAGATTCATATGTGTATGTGCTACATGTAACAAAGAGGTTCAATGCATGGCTATTCTTTGATGATTGCCGCACGGTGATGACCACAAAGAAATTCCACCAATGCTTCAACAATCAATGAAATCACAAGAGTTTGTTTACAAAACACTAATGACAAGCTATACATGTGTTTGAGGCTATCATTGTGCCCGTTTCGTGAGGCATAACAAACCCCGGAAAGTGTTTCTTGGGATGTGTCAGCTGAATGGGGCAATGTCTTTCGCTCAACTTCAGACAAGTCCCGATTTTTTTTTATTTTCAGTTTCGTATATACGGTTTGGTTTCGAAATTCAAGTTCGTAACTTCGACTGTTTTTCGGTTATTCAAATATTCGGATTTCAGTCCCAACACCAACCTTTATAGAGATCAAAATGCATACACCTCCCCAGAAGATTTGTAGTGGATTGCAACATTTCTTGACTACCTGCTCATCCTCCAGATGGCCTACCCTGCAATACCATGAAGCTGTAGGGTTCTGAAAAGTCACAATCTTGTTCTGCACAGTGTAAAATTCTTAGTCCAACATCTTGGGCCAAGACCACATACCCGTTGAGAAGTTGTGTGTACAATTGTTTGTAAACCTAACTACATTATGTACGTAACAATAATTTTGACTACTCTTTTCATATTTAAAATCACTTAGGACTTGATGAAGCTGTTTGTTCATTTGTTTGTATGTATTTAATGTAGTATTGATGCTACAGCTGAACCGCAGAGGGGTAAGAGATTAGGACGCCTCGTAAACCATGGGGAGAAGAACGAAGATAATGCAAAGATGAGAGTCATCATGAATGTAAACACACCAGCACTTTGCCTCTTATCTATCGAGCCTATCGTGAATGGATCAGAAATATTGTATGACTATGGAGTTAATGAACTTCCTTGGAAGAGCAATCAGGTTTGTACATGTATGCAGTTCATGGATTGCATGGTCCACTTAAACTTTCTTTGGCCTAATATGTTATGCTGCACTAGTCCTTGGAGATTTGTCACAGTACCAATACTACATTTAAAAAAAAGAATAACAAAATAAAATAAATCAATGAATAACAAAAAAAACAACAAACAATCAAAAATGTTGCTCCTGACACCAGGAAAGACAATTATTACCTGCTTTGGGCATTTAAAAGGCAGAGTACACCATTGGTAAAGTAACAAATATGGGACTACTAGATAATGCTTAAAAATGTTGTAAAGATGTCAATCTGTGAAATATTTCTGTCCAGAATGCTTCGAGAAATTTTTGTCCTTCACCACTTATGCGAAGAGTTTATGGACTATAACAACTTTTGGCTATGCTACTACTATCTACACCCATTGAATTGCAAAATGGAATACATTACAGTACCAAAAAAAACCTTAAAATAGCAGTGGTTGAGAAAATTGAAAATCTGCTCAATCAACTCCTTGCCCCCAGGTGAAGCCTTATATCCCTAACATCACTGTTACATGTAGCAGCAAGACTGGCAATACACAGGTGATAGCACCATCAAGGTACATGTAAGATCTTATTTTTAAGTGACAGAATGAAGATGCCAAATAAAATGCCCTAATTATATTCCTTCTCTTTTTACTGTAGAACCGTACCCCCAACAACAGAATCATATTGCTTTACTGTACTTTTGAGTTTGATCATTTTGCCTCTGTTCTGGAGAATTGCCATTTCCGTTCCACCCATCGGTTTGAATGCTCTCTGCCCTAGACGAATGCCAACACTATGACTGCTACAATGACATGATGATTTCTTTTTTTCCAGTGATGTGCACACGTCTGACATCACCACCATCTCCGCCACCAGTACGGACCACAACTTGCCATGCCTGCCGATCTCTGTTGTGAGTGGGGAGACTACAGCATCATCAAAATGAGATCATATATCGAAATGACTGAATGAGGATGCCAAAATACTCCAGATATTCCCTTTCTTTTTACTGTGGAGCCGTGCCTCCAAAAGCAGAATCATTTGCTCTACTTTTTTTTTGTCATCAACCTTTGAGTGCTCTCTGCCATACTCTTATACCAACACTTTGTCTGCAACAGTGAACAGATGATGTCTTTGTCCACAGATGTGGCACGGCAACGCCCTTTCTGCTAAGAGATTCCCAAAATGTTAGTGTGAGCTGGTGTGCTAGTCTGATGATGTTGTTATTGGGGGCAGTAGTGGCAAATGAATGTGAAATAATATGAACCAAGAACTATCGATCACTAAGGTCTTGGCCCAAAACTGCATACCTATTGAGGAGTTGTGTGTACTCATTTTGAGGAGTTTCCCGTGCATTGTGTATGTATCAATTTTAATGGGCAATTCTTCGGTAACGAAATTATTTTTGACTACATTTTTGAGTATATTACAATCACATAGATAATGTGTTTGAGTTTTTGGCTACCAGGAATTCAAAGCTAAGACCCCCCTCATGAGAGAACAAACAAAAATCAAAACGTGCATCCCCGCAATATGTGGGACTGAATTTTCGTAATGGAATTGATTGTCCCTGGGCATTTTTTTTGTTTTATTTCAATTACTCTACTTATTGCTAAACAAATAAGCCACAAAGGTTGTACGCCTGCTGTTTATTTTGAAACCTAAAACAGTGTGAGGTTCAGTCACATACAAAGCAGGGATTGTCTGTTACTAATGTTGAAAACTACAGTGCCTATTGAAACTTGAAATTTCTTTTAATCATTCAGGTTTCAAACTCCGTGCAGTACTTTCACAATATTACATTTTTTGTTTGACAATGAACAGACAGTTGCATGAATGGATCAAATCACACTGTCGCAACCCTAGTGTGCCCAAAAGTCACTGTGACTTGGATTGGCCATGAAATTCCGGACTAGAATCAGTTGGAAACATTGCTGTACATTTGATTTTGACCATTTTGCCTCTGTTCTGGAGAATTGCCGTTTCCGTTCCACCCATCGGTTTGAATGCTCTCTGCCCTAGACAAATGCCAACACTATGACTGCTACAATGACATGATGATTTCTTTTTTCCAGTGATGTGCACACGTCTGTCATCACCACCATCTCCGCCACCAGTACGGACCACAACTTGCCATGCCTGCCGATCTCTGTTGTAAGTGGGGAGACTACAGCATCATCAAGGTGAGATCTTATTTCGAGATGACTGAATGAGGATGCCAAAATACCCTAGATATTCCCTCTCTTTTTACTGTGTAACCATGCCTCCAAAAGCAGAATCATTTGCTCTACTGGTTTTATTTTGGTCATCCACTTTTGGGTGCTCTCTGCCATACTCTAACACCAACACTTTGTCTGCAACAGTGAGCAGATAATGTCTTTTTCCACAGATGTGGCACAGCCACGCCCCTTCTGCTAAAAGATTCCCAAAATATTAGTGTAAGCTGGTGTGCTAGTCTAATGATGTTGTTATTTGGGCAGTATATATAGTTGCAAATGAATGTGAAATAATATGAACAAATAACTATCGATCACTTAGGTCTTGGCCCAAGACTGCATACCTATTGAGGAGTTGTATGTACACATTTTGAGGAGTTTCCCGTATATTGTGTATGTAGCAATTGTAATGGGCAATTCTCCGGTAACAGAGCCTTCTTTGTGGAGCAAAGATGACTCACAGAGCAGTGAGATTTCAGTCAGTGAGCATGACTTTCCTGGGAGATCAAATACACCCAGTGAAATTGAACCTGGCATTGTGTCCTCTGATGAAGCCTCGGAATCCGCTGAGGGTAACCTTGTTTGCAGTGCACCTATTGGAAACAACAAACGTAAACATGCATTTCAGGGTCAGAAAGAAGGAAAAGAAGTAATGGGAAGAAGCCAATGGCACAAAAAACAACAACTGCTGGGATTGTGTCATCAGCAAGCACATCTAAAAGTGGAGAGAGGGTGTGGGACAAACGACACTATTGTATTTTTTGTCACAACCCTTATAAGAAGATAACAGAACATTGTGAAGACAAGCATTCAGAGGAGACAGAGATAACAAAAATACTTGCCCTTGAAAAAAAATCAAACCGAGGAGGGATCACATAGCTGAATTGAGAAAAGCAGGTTATTATGAGCACAACAGACATGTCCTAGCTGGTTGTGAAAAGGGGGAGCTTATTGTCCATAAACGTCCAAAGTATGGTGAGAAACATCATATTAAACAGTACATGTTTTGCTCAGATTGTAGAGGTCTGTACAAAAAAACTGCTCTGTACAGGCACAAAAAGATGTGCCCACGTCATAAACCTAACAAGAAAAGGACAAGGCATTTGAGGGCAGGAGCTGCTCTCATGCCAGTATCAGAGAATGTTACAAGACATCTGAATGGTGTCCTGGATGGAATGGAACATGACCAAATCAGTCTAATTGCAAGAAATGATAGCTTGATATTAAAATTGTGTGAACACTATGCTGCAGCTGCTGGACATACCAATAACAGCAACCACTATGTATCTCAGAAAATGAGAGAAGCTGCCCGCTTGTTGAACACTGCACGCACCCTTGATGACAATATCTGTATCGCAAAGGATCTAGTCAATCCAAGAAATTTCGATACAGTAGTTGAGGCTACTTTAAAGTGCTCAAACTTTGATGACAGCACATTTGAGTTTTCAACTCCATCCCTAGCCAGGAAACATAGACACATACTGAATAGAATGGCTGAGATAATTTGTGCAGTGGCTTTAAAAACGGGGCTTTCTGATAACAGTGGTGCAGGGTTTAAAAGACTCATGCAGCTGGAATGGCCAACAAGGGTGTCAGGTCATGCTTTGCGGCAGGCAGCCAACTCTAATTGGAATGAGCCAAAGAGGCTTCCCCTTACAAAGGACATCATGAAGCTTCATCAACATATGTGCAAAGAAGAGCGTGAAATAAAGGGCCAAACAAAGCAGTATGGAATTAGTTGGGAGACCTTTTCACAATTGGCAAAGTTAACCCTGGCCCAGTTGATTGTTTACAATCGACGACGCCCAGGAGAGACACAATTTCTGAAGGTTGAGACCTACAGAAAAAAGAAATCACGTGGAATGGACGCAAATAGTGATGTTGTGGACTCTCTGTCCCTCTCTGAAAGACTTTCTATCGAAAGACTTAGTGTAGTGTACATACGGGGAAAGAGAGACAGAGGAGTGCCGCTTCTACTGACTCCTAGTGTTAGGGAGTCAGTAGATGTTCTAGTGGGATCACGTGAGGAAGTCGGAAAAACCAGAAAATCCATATGTGTTTGCTAGAACCAGTGCAGATTCGTTGGGACCACATAGGGGCTATGATTGTTTACGTTTACAAGCGCACAAGTGTGAAGCTGAACACCCTGAAACAATCACCTCAACTAGACTTAGGAAGCATGGTCACGATGTATCCGTCCATCGAGAATATTACAGACTACCCCATGAGGCCGTGATTCTTGGTAAGGTGGGGAAACTTCTGGATGCTCTGGAACAGGGAAAGTTACATAAGTTCAAAGGAAAAACATTAGATGAGGTTGTGCTTGATGATGAAGTTCCACTTACTGATGGGGTAGTGTGTGATAAGGCAGGGCTTACTGATGAAGTTGTGCTTGATGATATGGCGCAGCTTCCTAATGCGGTAGTGCTAGATGATGAAGCAGCCAAGAAAAAGAAGTGTGAAACACATATCGCTTTGGGTAGTAAGAAAACAGTAGCCCCAGATCTGAAATGTAAGAACTCAAAATGCACATGCACCAAAACAGCATGGACTGCCGAGGAACTTTCAGCCGTAACAAATCACCCAGGCTTAAGACAAAGTTTTCTTTTGGGCAAAACCCCGAAACACAACACTTGTAAGGACGCAAAGGAAGCGTACAAAGCTTTGGCGGGTAGAACCATTTCCCAAATAAAGTCAAAAGTATGGAATCTCATCCAAGCTGAGAGAAAGAAGGCAGATAAAGAAAATGCTGGAGTATACTTGTAATATGGTTCTTACTTTCCAAAGCTCCATTCATGTGCCACATTATTGTACATGACATGCACCCATAAAAATATGCAAGCTTGAATGGTGGGGCTTGGGGTTATGGTTACCCTTGTGATTCAATTCTATCAGTATGTCATGCATGTAGTTATGTACATTTGATATGCAAATATTCTCATGGACAAAAGATACTATTTGAAAATATGTCAAATAAGATTTACCTTTTGGTGCAGAATAACTTCTTTAACTTTCAGTAAATGTAGTTTCACTGGAATATCTCATAGCCCATATTAAAATCAATAAGTGTTGATGGTTAGGTTTCGCGGTTTTATCGTGTGCATTGCGGTTGTCAGGATTATGTGTGTGTGTGGTTTTTTTGTGGGGGGGGGGTGGTTGTTTTCAAGTTGGTGGTTAATGTACAATTTTTTATATCTGCATTTTGGAGTTAAACAGTAATTCTTGAAATAGCAACATTACTTTTTGATTGTTTGTGACCTTAAAGGTTTAGTCACCTTGTAAACAGAAAGTTAGAAATACAACATTGAAAAAATTTCTTTTCTGAAAAGCCATTGTACGCTAAATTTTGGCTAGTGAGAATAGGCAAATCAGAACGCAAAAATATTGAAAAAAAATGTGTTATGGAATGACATGTACACATGTAAAAGTACTCTGTACATGTACATGTACATATCATTGCTGTTTGCTTTTACAAGTTGTTAAAAACAAAATAAAACAAAAGCTTTCTGATAACTATATGATGATGTTTCCAAAAGAAGCATTTAAGATTCATTTGGAGATTCCTCACCAGTTTAATTCCCATAGAATATCGGCTTGATTATAGTGTAGAACAGGTTTGAAGGTGTTGCGATGTAACATGATAATTTTCTTTTAAGATTATTAACATTTGTTATATATCCCCTGTTCATGCGTTGCACATACATGTACTGAATCGTTTTCTACAATGTTTTTGTGTCCATCTGTTAACTGTTAATGTGTTTGATTCAACACTTCAGGTTTTAGCATGTATGGTCACTTACATGTTCTTGTTTTAAAGAATATTTTTGCTTCATCAACCTAAATAATTACTGACAAAAATTAATACATGTATAACTACGTTTATTGCTGATTTGCACAGTGTTCAGTTATTATCTTTGCTGATATATTCGTGATTATAATAATTCCTGTTGTTCTGTACTCTTTGATAAAACTAATCATGTTTAGATGTATAATCTACCTGTATATCTTACATTCACTGTACATACGTATATTTAAAAGACATGCTCTCCAGAACTTCAGGATGTGCAATACAGTCAAACCCGTCTTAGACCACTTGCGCAGAAAGGCCACATGTCCATTCAAGTTTCCTCCCATCAAAATTCCTGTTAAACCTGCTTATGTGACCAGCGACCACTCATTTTGTCTCCCGTGGTCCATCTCACACTGTGTATAGTGGCCAGAACTGCCCCATTTTTTTCAAATCTTGTCTTCAAAAGTGGTGTTCATTGGCTTTCAAATGACACATATCAGGTTAATAGGCCTCACAAAATAAGTAAGGCCTAATCCTCATTAGTTAAAATTTAAAAAAAAATGCGTGCAGGTCTCAGGTTAAAAAAGCCATCTCAAACCTGTCCGCCTGTCTACAAAGACCACATTTCCTGTCTCCCTTATGAGTGGTCTTTATAGACAGGTTTGACTGTATATTCAAATTACATCAAATTGTTACAAGATAGAAACTATGTACAAGTAAACACAAACCTGAAATGCACTTTTGACAGATTGCTGCATTGCATCATTATGGCCTTCTTGTCACTAATGAAACCCATGTCATGCATACATGATGTAGATTTACTTTCCCGGGGTTCTGAATTAATCTTACCAACTTATGTTCATAAAGACCTTGGGACTACTAAGCCACATAAATTTATTTGGCATTCATACACTCGATCCCTAGAAAGTTTAACCATGTTTGTTTGTCGTTATGCAGCATAGCCTTTTGTACTGGTTGAGAAAGCACGGGTATTTATTACTTGGCATTCTTACATACTTTTCACAGTTTAGCCATTTTTACTTGATGAGAGCTTGTGTGTGCGTGTGTGTTGGGGGGGGGGGTTGGCATACCGGTATGTTCCAGCGTAGCCATTCTTTAATGATTGGATATTGTACAATGGACGCAATTGCACCTATATTGTTAATATTTTTACCTCCAGTAGAAATTCTAAAGTGCTGCAGAGTGTGCTCAACAAGTGAAACCCCCATCATGCAAAAATCGGCTTTCTCATTTACATGTTTTCTTGAAAAAAATACTGTTTTCCTGTTTTCAAAAACAATTGTTGTTGTAAATGTGCACTAGAGTTGCTTAAATGTTGCAAAGAGACTTTTTTTCTTCATGAATACACTTCAAGCAGCTGATGTTGACAAGTTTTGAAGAGGTTGGAAAAATAAAGCATACATTTATGTCTCAGTTATTTGTAAATTGTGTTGATTTGATTTGAGTTCTACTGACCATTTACCAAGGAGATATTGCACTGTTTAGTACTTACTAAAGACCCAGCCCACCTCAGATGGATGGAAATTCATTTGTCTGCGCAAAGAATGAGGTTTGGATGCAGTGATTTCCATTTGAATTAAGATGAAATGAAAAAGAGAATCCACAGAAATGTTACTCTTTAGAAACATCAGAAGCATTTCATGTTCATATGAATTGATCACTATAGCTGCAATCCATTTTTCTAGCTGCAGTAATTGCATGGGTTTATATTTGTTTTGATGTTGTGTGACCACATGGCGTACATGTATCATGGGACATGGCTTCTGACTGGCACACCCCATCCAAGAAGAAATTTGAGTATGGACAGAATTTAATACACGAGAAATACTTGTCATCCTGTGCACATACCCTATGAGACTGCTCTGAAAAATTATGTTTCTGAGTATAAATGCCTAAATATTTTCACTGCTAAATTTGACTTTAAGGACATGTCATTGGTTTTCATGGCTGATATTAAGTCGCTAAATGTCCAGGTATGGAATATTTTCTTTACCTATTATAACAAGGATGCCATCATCATGGGGTAGCTCCGGTGGTAGAGTGCTGGTAATCCAGATGTGGCAGGTTCAAGTCCTGATTAAGTCTTTTTCTTTTCTCCATCAAATTCAAATGCAAATAACTAGATGCTTACCTTCATATTGACTGGTTTTGTGATCATAAGAATGATGCCACAGATGTTGTTTTAAACTGCCAATAGTATGCTATACAACCTCTGTCTTGTACTTAACAGGTTTGTAGGAAATGAAGATACACTATAATTGCTTCAGCTGAAATTCCTCTAATTTCTCGGACATTTTGCCCAATTAATTTGGCAGCAATATAGTGTTCTAAGCTCTAAGATGAGTCATCAAACCACAAACCCGTCCATGATACAGGGTAATTATTTAAATTATGATTACCAATACAACGACCAATGTTATTGTAGGGGCACGACATTTTATAATAGCACACCCAAGGTCAGCCGGTTAATTAGTGGGACTGGCAAGGTTATTTGTGACACCTATCTGGGGTCGTATATCTACGCCTCACTAGTTAGTTCCAAGTTATTGGTTAAGAATGCATTATTGGATTCTTCCAAGGGACAAACATTGTCGAGAAGCTTGTTTATATCATTCCAAAGACACACTTGTGTTTATTGGTAGTACCTGAGAGAATAAGTCGATAGGTGACGGATATTTTGTGAATGGCGGAATAATTACGTTTCGGGCCGATTCACCCAGGCACGTCGTTGCGGCCTCTTGCCGTGCGTGCTTCTTGCTGTCGCAGGTGAGACTTTCTCTCCTCAAATGTGTCCATTTTACAACTGTTTCTCGATATTGTTTCATTGTCTCAATATGTTTAACTGGTGCATTATTATGTGCAGATAACTTTGATAGGGACAATAGACATGAATATGTAGTGGTTAGCTACATAAATAAGAACGCAACAACTCACCCTATAGTTCGTTTTATGGACACCGACGACAAAGTCGAAACACTCCGGGTAATACGCGAATGTATAGCAATCCAATGGGGGCGAGCACACGCGAGTCCGTGGGGGCGAGTTGGCCCGCGAAAGTGCTTCTCGATTTCGCGAGAAAAAGTCTCCCTCAAACGAGGTGAGTTCGCTCAAAGATCGTCAACTGCACGATCCAAAATAAAGTACAATAAAAACTGGATACAACTGTTCAAATGCTGATACTTTCAGCAAGTTCCGAGGTGGAATAAATCACGGAGAAAGTTCCGATAACTGTGAAGGACTTTCACCACGCGGTGACACGAGAACAAAAGATGACTGACCAGGCACGCTCATTAAATGCATAAGGTCAAAGTTGAAAAGGGGCACCACATTAGCCCCCTCCCAGATGGTGAATTGGGTAAAAAGGAATGAACC